TTTTTTTGCTGTTGCAGTTGTTGTTGTTATAGCTGGCACAGGTGGGACCCACCAGCCCTGGTGTATGTAGCCAGCACCCTATCCCCTTGAGCTACAGGCGCCGGCCTACTTTGCAGTGTTTTAAAAGAGGATGTTTTCGGCTTGGCAGCCATAGCTCAGTGGGTAGGGAACCAACCAAACACATACACCGAGTCTGGTGGGTTTGAACCTGGTCGGGGCCAGCTAAACACAATGACAACTGCAACAAAAAATAGCCCAGCATTGTGGTGGGCTTGTGTAGTCCTAGTTTCTCAGGAGGCAAAGGCAGGAGAATCGCTTGAGCCCAGGAGTTGGAGGTTGCTGTGAGCTGTGATACCACAGCACTCTACCCAGGGCAATAGCTTGAGGCTCTGTCTCAAAAAAAGACAAAAAAAAAAAAAAAGAAAGAAAACATGCTTAGCCTCTTGAAAAGAAAGAAAACAAGCCTTAGCTGCTTGAGCCACAGGCGCCCGCCCATGTTTTCTTTAGTTCATTCACAAATGATTTGAACTTTGCGGAAATGCATTTCCTGAGTAAATAAAATTATCTTTTTTTTCCCCCTTGCCTGACACAGATGAGAATATCCTAAGGCTGCATCTCACAGCTAGTTGTTTGTGTCCATTTTATCAGAAACTTCAGACCAAGCTTTGCATGGAAGAAGTGACACTGGGCAGGCAATCAGGAGCTACCCTCATTGCAACCATATCACTCCACCTTCAGATATTTTCCACCTCTAAGTGGGAAAACAAATATGTCATTTGCTGTAAGTAAAAGGGAAAAAAGTAAGGAGATAACTAGGTCACACACTCTATATAAAAAAGAAAATGATCAGGAGGACAGTTTTGAAGATGCCTATGAAAACATCCCTGTGGCACCAACAATGAATCTAATATCTTCCTTGGAAGAATGCACAACTGGATTATATCTATTTCTAAATAACAGATTCTCAGAAGCAATAAATCTCATTCATCCATGGTCTAAAAATAGCATATACCATGCCCTAATATATAGTATGCTTATGGTTGTCAAGGCCATCCTGACTTTTGATCCACAGGACATACAAACTGGCATAGACACTGCAATGGAAGCTTTGAAAACCTGTAACATTTTCCGGAAAAAACCTCGGATGACAAGTCTATCTTATGTAGTGAACAAACAGGGAATAAAGAGTATCAAAGAAGAAGAATTGCATGCAGAAGTCTGTTATGCTGAATGTTTGGTTTTTAAATCCTTTGTAACATTTCTCCAAGACGAAAGTGTGCTTGGTTTTCTTAAAAGTGGTCTCGGTATTGGGACAAGTTACCATATATACAAAGACTGTCAACAGGTAGTAAGACAGATGCCTAACAGCGAAAGTAAAGCCCACAAGCACCTGATTGGAGGAATAAAATTTGGACTTGGAGCATTCAATTTGATGTTATCACTTGTGCCACCAAGGACACTTAACATACTCAGTCTGATTGGATTTTCTGGTAATAGAGAGTTAGGCTTGACTTTGCTTCGTGAGAGTGCATCTGAAACCCACATAAATAATGTCTTAGCTATTTTGACTCTACTCTTTTATAACCATTACATCTATGTAGCTTTTGGTGTTGACACGGTTTACAGTTCTTCTACAGAAGGTCTCTTCCTAATCTATCTCCAGAAATTTCCAAAATGTGTCATACTTAAATTTTTTCATGCACGTTCTAGTATGCTGAAAGGAAATTTTGAAAGTGCACAGTTAAAATTACAGGAGTGCATTTTTACTCAGAATGAATGGAAGCAGGTTCATCACATTTGTTATTGGGAACTCATGTGGTGCCACATTTTTCTGCTGGATTGGAAGCGGGCTTATTTCTATGCTGATCAACTGTATCAACACAGCAGGTGGTCCAAGGCAACATATGTGTACAGTAAAGCTATAATAATGGCTGTGCTTCCTTCTGATTTTGGAAACACAGTAAATGAGGATATGAACTCTCTCTTTTTACAAGTGGATGGCCTGAGAATCAAATTTTTGGGCACTTCTGTGCCAATGGAAAAGTTTATTGCTGATAAAGGTCAGCGCTATGGTACTACTACAGGCTGGTTTACAATACAGCCCCTTCTGGAATTCATTTATGCCATGAGTGGTTTCCGAGTCATGAGCAAAAGAACAGAGCTTATTTCAAGGTGGCTATCAATAATTGACAAAGGAGAAGGCCTTTTACAAGGGAATCCAAATAAAGAGAATGGCACAGATGACATATGTTTGTTAAATTTACTGAAAGGTCTATGCCTGAAATACTTAGGCAGCTATTCAAAGGCTGAGTATTGCTTTAATCGTGTCATTCACCAGGAGAAATCGATAAAGTACGACCACTATTTGGTGCCATATACTTACTATGAACTAGGAATTCTACAATATCTAAAAAGAGATTATGATAATGCAATAAAAAACCTGAACAACATAAAAAACTACAAAGACTATTCTCTGGAAGCCCGATTACAGTTTAGGGCTCACATAGCTCTTGAAAAAATAGCTAAAGAAAAATAAACAGTGTGGTTTTGTTTAGTATGAAATATCCACAATCAGCAAGTAATTGAAAGATTAATAAAAACATTTCTTTATGGAAAAAATCCATGAGGCAGCAGTCAAGAATCTGATCTGTAACAAGTAAGACAGGAATTGGCCATTACTTTTACCTCTTTCTTTCTCATACCTATAAAATGGAATGTCTTCAACTGGCAACAGGAGTGATACATTCTTGGGGGGGGGGGAAGGCAAATGATTTACATCATAAAGAATACTTTCTCTCATATGTCATATATTTATCCATCATGTTAGACAACGTTTTCAAAACATCAAAAATATTTTTGAACATCTCACTAGATAAAGTTTACAACTCCACAAAAAACAGGGAAAGTAATTACACTAGGGATCTCAGCACTCTGTAAAAGTTCTCATTTGTTAGAAAAAATGACTTCAAAATCTTAACTGACACACCAAAATAGTGATGCATTGAATAGCATAGATTCTGAATGGTTCCCCTCAGATGCAATCATTTTTCTTGGCTTTTTATACCAGAGAAGATTGTCTGCTGCTTTGTGATCAGCAGTGCTTTTTACCCTTTTTCGGTAGGAAGCTCAAATACCTGTTTATAATTTGCCACAGGAGAGAGAAGAAAGCCCTCTCACCCCTCTTCACACAAAAACTTTGAAGATAAATTAAAGGAGGCCAAGAGGATGGGGACCACTGGCTTTTGGAAGGAGAGTTTAGTTACCAAGTAATCCTCCCTAAATATAATTCCAGTTAAGACCAGCTCTTCAACATAATTAACTCTATTGCATCCATCCATTGTTAGAGGGCTAATTTGAGAATAAATAGCAGCTATGTGGATGGGGCTTGGGTATTGTTTTACCTGCTTTAGGGATAAAGTCTGTTCCTAATTGCCAGACTATAACTCTGGCGGAGTGTGTCCTCCTTGTAGTTGCCCTTTAAAACTGAAGTCGCTGGGAAAGTTTGGCTTTGGGTGTCCTGACAACCAAATGGAACATGATGAGAAGCTAGTATTTCAGATTAAGCAATGCTTACTTTTAAGAACTTTTTCCTCATAAATTAAAAATACACTTTCAAGTGAATAAGTGTGCTTTAGTTATATGGTTATCATGGTTAAGAAGGAAGGTTCTGGCTTGGCACCTGTGGCTCAAGTGGCTAAGATGCCAGTCACATACACCTAAGGTGGCAGGTTCGAATCCAGCCTGGGCCCGCCAAACAACAATGACAGCTGCAACCAAAAAATAGCCAGGCATTGT